CCCCAAAACCCCAAAACCCCAAAACCCCAAAACCCCAAAACCCCTTTAATTAATAATTTAATTGAATTCTTAAATGGAAAATAAGAAAATATTCAGAAGGTATTTCTTTCGTACCATTTCTATAGGAACAGAACTAGGAGGAAGACAATGCCTCCAGAGACACTCCCACTACCTCCAAAGCCCACTGAGAAAGCTCTCAATAACTTAACAGAGGTTCGAGAGCTAATCCTTCAACTCCAGAGACCTCTCATGAGTACTTTCCAAAGTTTGATTTATAGTAAAAATGAAACAATTTGAGGAAAAAATCACTAAACTTGACTTGCTCTATTCTGAATTAAAGAAGGAAAGATATAAGAAGTACATAAAGAGAGCTGTGAAGAAAAAAGTTTGTGATAAAAGACTCAGCTTCTCTGCTGCTACCTTCAGAACGAAGAGCACTTTTACAGGCCTTAAATGCGAAGAGAGGACTAAGATAAAGAAATCTCCACTTGAGTTTAAAAATGTAAATTTCATTCATAAGTCTAGACACCTATTATTAACAAGGCTGTGACCAAGGTCGAAATCGACATGACTGATTATGAAAAGAGAAGCAAGAAGATATAAAGTCTAGCAGGTCTATTGATAATGTTCACAAGAGGCTTTCCAAGACTGAATCTCTCAGCAACATTTCCAAGGGCTCTAATATTGGTCTTAACACTGTAAATAAGATCAAAAAGGTAAAAACTTACTCGATAAAGGTAATTTTCCAACAAAAAATGAAAATAGAGTAAACTAGAGATAGAAAAGAATCATAGCTCAAGGTATTTTTATCCTTCTTTATGCGTAGAATACTTATGAACAGCCAGAAAGTTGACAAGCTTCACCTTGATATAATCAGGAAGATCAAGAAGAATACTGTCAAAAGTAACAACACCAGTGAGCTTCACAAGAAACTAGAAAGTATTGTTTGAGTTTTCTAACAGCTAGTGAGTAAAACAGACTCTAGCCAAGACATGAGCCAGTTCAATAACTTGTTTGTGCCAGCACAGTTATGTGATTGTGAGAGTTCAAAGAGCATAAATCCAAGCATTAATGATACCTGTGGGGGTTATTGTAAGAATTTATCAGCGAAAGAGCAAATAGAGTAAGAATTTACCCTCAAAAATAGGTTTCTCAGGAAGACATTTGAAATCCCTCGATACATTAGAGAAGCTCAGGAATACGCAATCTCTGCTGAATGGTGGCGAAGTTGGTGCGATTATATCAATATTGAGTTTCAGACCATCAGGAGTATTGAATTCAACAACGAAAATCAGCTTCTCAAACTTTTTGCTAACAGTCACAAAACCTCTTTGAACTTAAAATCTTACAAATAACCCTGATTCTAAGAATTGAGATGTAGAATTTGAATCAAATCCTTTATGTAAAAATCCTTCAGGACTGATTAAGGATATCTCGGACCAAAGTTGGAATTCACAGATATTGGAAGACTCTTATTGAAGACCTCATAAAATTAAGAACAAGGAAATCGTAGATATAAACACATTCGGTAATCCGCTCTCTAATTTTTAGTGGAATACTCCAAGAAAGACAAGATATACAAACTCAAGGACAACCTAAAAGAAATATACGATTATGTAAAAGTCGACTCAAATGCCTGGGCTTACTTTAAGCACTGGTATGATTGAGATTATGAAATTCTTGTATAAAAGCACTTATCAAAATTCAATAATCCTGAAATCCCCAGGGGTTTTGGGGTTTTGGGGTTTTGGGGTTTTGGGGTTTTGGGGCATTTG